ATTGTTTACTGGTGTGGAGAGCTGCCACGCCCAACACATGTTTCAGAAGCTCAAGGACACCTTATATTCCTGCTCTGTAGTCCAAATCTAACCCTGGAGTCTCCTGCGGCTTGTCCCTTGCTGCATGTAGTCTGGAGCCAGGCCTTAGCTTCTGAGCAGTGACAAGGGCGATCCCCTCAGGCAGCTAGTTTTCAGTCCTTGGCTGCAGACTAGAGTCACCTGGGAGTTTAAAACAATATTTGCCTCTGCGAGTCTCTTTGAGATTTTTATTTGATGGGCTGGAGGCTTGGGCATGGAGTTAATTCTCTTCGAGCCAGGCTGAGTTACTACAACAGAGGCCTGCTGCTGCTGCCCCACGCGGTTTCACAGCACTCCCGATGATTGCCCCATAGCCTGTTTTGGCTCCTTGCACCAGCTGATTGGGAGCTTGGAGTTCTGCCCGAGCTTGTTGAGAAGAACGGTATGTACCTCTACAGAGGTCTTCTCAACACCTGCTCTGGGCTGCATTTACAGAATCCAGTGTCCATCAGTCTAAATCCATCTACTCTATACATTTCATTTTATTTATCTATTGATCTATTTATTTATTTATTTGAGACAAGGTTTCACTGTTTAGCCCGGCTGTCCTTGAACTCACTATGTAGATTAGATTGGGCTGACCTCAAATTCACAGAGACCGAACTGCCTCTGCCTTTATCTATCTTCCGAGTGCTGGCATTAAAGGTGTGTGCCAGTGTACCTGGCACTTTATATATTTCATAAACTCGAGATTCTGATCCCCTCTCTTTTTTTTAACTTTTTCTTTAATTTTTGAGACAGGTTCTCACTCTGTAGCTCTGGCTACCCAGGAACTCACTAGTAGACCAGGCTGGTCTCGAACCCACAGGGTTCCCCTACGTGGGTTGAAGGTGTGTGCTACCAGGAGCTTTCCTTTTCAAAAGTAACTCTCTCTCTTCCGCCTATCATTTCACTGGGTTGGGAGGTGAGAGGGAGGAGATTCTCCCACAGCAGCAGCCTGGAGGTTACAGTGGGAACTGCACACTTGGAAACACTGCCCATCACTGTCTGCATGTGCATCCCAGGGCAGCCGAAAGCAAGGGGAGAGAAAGAGCCCCACACAGCCAGCACGCCCATCATCAACACCAACAACCAGAAATCCCCGAGAGCCCTGCTGAAGTACAACTGAATCTTCTAAGACAGCAACAAGACGCTTAGAAGGGGCAGTGTGGGCCCCAGCACGCCCAGTTGAAGAAGGGTGATGACTCAAGTGCCAGTCGCCAAGTCATGACAACCAGAGCGCGCAGAACACAGCGACTCTTCTTTATGATGGAGAAAGGACAATTTGAATAAAATGACAAGACAGTAATTTTACTGGGTGAGAAAAGGCACAGAAGAACAGAATCTACGGCTGATTTATAAAAGGGAGAAGTTTTGGTAAGAGTAAAATGCAGATTCTGAGAAAAAAATAAATTCCACAAATCTAAAAGCAGCACAAAAGTTACGACTTAATAGCCTTCCATCCAGTCCAAGAACAAAACCTATCACTATTAAGAAGATACAAAATTGCCGGGCGCTGGTGGCACAAGCCTTTAATCCCAGTACTCGGGAGGCAGAGGCAGGCGGATCTCTATGAGTTCGAGGCCAACCTGGTCTACAGAGCAAGGTGCAGGATAGCCTTCAAAACAATACAGAGAAACCCTGTCTTGAAACCCCCCCCAAAAAAGAAGATACAAGATGAAAATTAAGACTGTTAATGGAGTAGGAACTGAACTGGTTCCTTTCCATAAGTCCAGTTAAAGGAAGCAAACCAAGCTCTGTAAATACAGCACAGAGGTAGGAAAAGAAAATTCATTGTACAGGACAAACCCCAGCTTCCACCCCTTTGCCATAACTGCCACGACAACTCACATAGGAAAAGAAAATCAGTCCCATTTTACACAGGAGAAAGCTAGATACTCAAGGCTGTTAAAGGTGTCTGAGACAGGAAATAGGCAGCAATTCCAAGGCTCAAAAGTTCAGTCTGTGACTTGCAAAGCTTGTGTATACCCTATGTCTGACTACCCCACTGACTCCAATCCATGACTTCCAAAGCCTGTGTTTAGCCTATTCTGACAGCCCCTCTGTACACAGAAACTCTTAGTTATTACCATAATGTGTGATAGTTAAGAGTGATTTGATGCATATTCTAGGACTGCATGTGTCAGCACACTGTAATTATATTGAAAAAAGAAGCCCCAGATGAGCGAAGGAAGAACAAACTTGTGGTGCTAAATGGAACTATGTAACTACATGTGCTCACCGTCTTTAAGGACCTGCGATGTATAGGGGTGTTTTGCCTGCATGTATGTCTGTGTGCCTGTTGCCTTCAGAGGTCGGAACAGGGCTTGACATGCCCTGGGACTGGAGTTACAGACAGGTGTAAGCCTCCACGTGTGTGCTGGGAGTCGAACCTGGGTCCTCTGGAAAAGCAGTCATTGATCTTAACTGCTGAGGCCTGCACCCACAGTTTCACTACATCCGAGACTGCTACAGAAATCCACTCGGATGCTTGTGCATTCCTAGCCCCGCCTGCTAAGAAGCTCTAGGAGCATGAAGTGCCCCACACAAACACCTGAGCCCCTGACTCAGCTTCTAAATACTATTTCCAACGAAAGGGAACAGGTGCTCATGTAAAAATGGTTGATTCCAGGACTGGGGCAGGGGCTTCACACCTCACAGTATCACAAAGTGAGGAGGGCAAAACAAAAAGCTAACAATCTTCTTCACGAGCAGCAAGTAAGTGCAGCGGTGTGGTGAGAAGAGCCGGCTGGACGGCCTTCCCAGTGCCAAGCCCGGGACCGTCTGAGAGCTCGCACGGGAAGGTAAACAGCCATGAACACAGCCAGAGGGGACAGACCTTCCTTACAATACAACTGCAACTATTAAATGTGGGATGGAAACAAACTATCATAAAGCAAATAGCAGTCAGCAGTGCTGTGTGCAGACTCACTAACGTGCACAAGGAGTAAAGGGAGGGTGTAAGAGAGACAGCGCTTCCAAACGGGAACGCCACAGACGGGAAGCATGGGAGAGGCTGCCCTGGCCCAGCAACCACCAGGAACCAAGGCATCACGTGCCTCTTGATGACGGTGAACAAAAAAGGGCCCATCACTGCACAGAGTCTTTTCCAAAACTCCAGTCTACCGACTGCAAACCCAACTGGAGGGTATTCCTACCAAACGGTAAATGTATCCCAAAATGCCAGGGTCTTAGGAAACGGAGAGTAATTTATTGCAAGGAAATAAAGCCATGAAAGCTAAAAGCAGATTCTGAATTTGACACTGGACTAGAAAACACGTTAGTGTGGTGATGGGCGTGGGACACTAACTTCCTGGTCTTGACAAATGCCTCGTGGATACATAAGATCTTAACACCAGGAGAAAAACAGTCTGGAACAGTTTGCAACTTTTCTCTAAGTCTACATATTTTCCAAACAAACTTAAAAAATGTGATTTCTTGAATAACTACCCAAATCAAGGTCGCCTCACTGGCTCCAAGCCACTTCTACAGAGGCACAGTTCTGTAGTGGGATAATTGTGACAGCTGTTCCTTTTAGCTTAGTTGTCAAAACCCCCCATTGAAAGGACATTATGAAGCTGGACTTGGTGGCACATGGCTTTAATCCTAGCACTCAGGAGGCAGAGGCAGGCAAATCTTGAGTTTGTGGCCAGCCTGGTCTATACAGAGTGAGTTCCAGGACAGCCAGGGCTGCACAGAGAAATCCTGTCTTCAAACACCAAAAAAAAAAAAAAAAAAAGAAAAGAAAAGAAAATAATAAACCTGAACTAATTGTGAGATTTGTATTCTGAAACATGGTTCTAAATAGTATGCATATGCTAAACATAAAAACTCGATTAATCCTAGCTGGGTGGTGGTGGCGTACGCCTTTAGTCCCAGCACTCAGGAGGCAGAGGCAGGAGGATCTCTGTGAGTTCCGAACCAGCCTGGTCTACAAGAGCGAGTTCCAGGACAGCCTCTAAAGCCACAGAGAAACCCTGTCTTGAAAAACAAACAAACAAACAACAACAACAACAACAAAACCACCTCAATCAATCCAGTTGTTTTGTTCAGAAACATCCATTTTAGTGACTTGGCTTCTCCTGGATGCACATCTTTCTCACAACTCCTTTCTGAGCTCAGGAACCACAGCTCCACATGCTCACAGTGCAGAAGGTTTTTGTGGACTGCCTAGTGTGTGTCAGACACACAGCAGACGTTAAAAAAAAAGTGATGAAGGGAAACCTTGGTCCTCAGGCAGGCGGGCAAACCTGGTGAAGTAAGGTGCCAATCGGATGCAGTACACTCAGTGAGGACTCGTCTCCCCGTCTTCAGATGAAGACGTTAAAATAGCTCCAGGTTGACTTGGCAACCAGCACAACAGTACTTGGTCCCCAGCCACCCCATAGAGAGTGAACACAGATGTCCAACTCTCCACTGCTCTGCTCAATAGTTCTGCAATCTTGGGCCATTTACATGACATCACTGAATTAATTTTCCTCACTTGGGGATAATAAATCTCACCTCCTCAAGTTCCCATGAGAAAGACAGAAAGAAATGCCCTCCAGAGATCTAGGGACTGAGAATTCTTTGGTAGACAGGACTACTGTGTGAGTTTATAGATGCTGCCAGATGCCTGTAACACACATTAAATGCAGTTATTAGATGAGTGTTGAACCGGAAACTGTTCTTGAGATATATATTCAATGCATTCATCTTATTTTTAATTTTTAAATATTGTGTGTGCATGAACCATGGAGACCAGAAGAGGGTGCTGGAACTGGAGCTATGGGTGGATTTGAGTCACTGGATGTAGGATTGGGAACCAAAGAGAGCAGCAAGCTCTCATAACTGCTGAGCCGTGTCTGCAGCCCACAACGTGTCTATTTTGACAACCAGATTTTCTGATGACTCTGTACTTTGCTCATACCAGGAAAGGACTGGCTCCTGGCAGCAGGACTTACCCTCCACTGTCGCCCCTTCGTTTGGATTGGAGTAGCCCTCTCCTTTCCGTTTGATTCTACGGATAATGCCCGAATCTTCAAATAAGTCCTCTCCTTTGAAATCAAGGAGTTCAATCTAGAGTGGAAAAGGCCAGAGTCAGTTTAACACAGCTACTTTACGAGACTCCATCTTTATCATATGGCTTAGATGGAGGAAAGCAGAGGAAGCCAACACTGCAGTCCGCAACCCTCGGAAACAGCCCTGTGTAATGACAATGTCTAGGACTCCATCCTGTGAGGCTGCAGTGCAGAGACAGACAGGAAATACTAGGACAACTGCCTTATGGGCAAAAGGCCAAAGCTATAAGGTGCTGGCGCAGAACGCTTTTGTCTGACTCCAATGCTACTGGACCCCACCCCAGATTCATGTAGTCTCCAAGATTTAAAACTTAAGATCTGGTCTTCAACTGACTGAAGATGTACTTTCACCTTGTTAGATAAAAAATCAAGTTTTACCAATGAAGTGTAATTAATTCAACACAGACTAAACAATGCACTGCCACTTACTGTCCTGACGAAGCTTAGAGGGCAGTTGTAAACCTTCACAGCTTACCATTTTAATGCCAGTCACCACCATTTCCGGCCTGTCAGTTTTGAGTGTCTTACTTCCCCTACTGACCAGAGCTTGTATTTCTAAATCTTTGTCTTTTGTTTGTTTGGATAAGCCCCTTTTGTGCCAGAGACACATTTCTAAGAAAGCACAGACACATCCTCTGGGTGTGTGGGAAACAATTCAAGAAGCTAGGCTCCAAGAGGAATAAGCTGGGGCGGGTTCTCGGCGGCAAACCCAGCTGCCCTCCCACTGTGCAGCATGGCACATGCCGGCTAGGAGACAACACGCATACTTGCCTCAAAAAAGAGAGTTGCATTCGAGGGAATTTTCGGGAGGCTGCCAGCAGAGCCATAAGCATATTCTGGTTTACACAGTAAGTGGCAGATCTCTCCTTTCTTCATGGTAGACACCCCAATGTCCCAGGCTTTGATAACCTGGCCTGAGAGAAAGCAAGAAAACATGTTGTTTCCAACAGAAATCAAATCTGCCAAAGTGTCAGAGCTATAAAGTCTGGATGCTCCTGCTCAGCTGTAGGAGTGCAGCAGCCTACCTGTGCACTGTCAGTATCTGAGTCAGCCTCACAGTGCAGCGCAAGCTAGTCTACAACTACCAATTCTCCGGCTGGATTGCCTCTGCCTCTAGGGCCTGCACAACAGGCATGTGCTCCACGGGTAATACTCACAGCTCTTACCATATGCAGCACTAACTACATCTTATTGCGGGCCTGAAGAGATGCCCAGTGGTTAAGAGCACCTTGTAGACATACCTACAGCCAGAACATCAATGCACATGACAAAGAAACAAACGAACAAAGCCTCACTGTAAACAGTCTCCAATCTTTTGGGAAACAACAGAGAATTTAAGCAACAACAAAACACACTGGGGGGTTATTACATCAATCAAAACCTTACACATTTGGGCTACAGCCATGTCTTGTTGGCAAATCACTTGTTGACAAGCTTGCTGACCTGATTGCTATTCCTGAGACTCAAGTGATAGGAGGAAGGAACTGATTCCTGTAAGGCTGTTCTCTGACCTACACACAGACACACACACAGACATACACACATATACACATAAACAGACACACAGACATATATACACATACAGACACACATACACACACATACATAAAAAGAAGTGTAATTTAAAAATTAATGAAAACACTTAAGCCTTTAAAGTAGGAGCAGACAAGTGGAGTGACAGAAAGCTGGGCCTGGTAAGATCAAGAGGCCCTGTATGTATGAAAGCAAGTAGAGCAAAGGCATTTGCTATTCTGGACTTCAGTTTAGACTTTGCTAAATTTTATAACTTTTCAGAACATCAGTTTTGCTTAGTTATTATTTAATATAACACATGCTTATTATTAAGACATGACAGGCCAGGCGGTAGTGGTGCACACCTTTAATCCCAGCGCCTGGGAGATAGAGGCAGACGGATTTCTGAGTTTGAGGCCAGCCTGGTTTCCAGAGCAAGTTCCAGGACATCCAAGGTTACACAGAGAAACCCTGTCTCAAAAAACTGAAGATATGACAAAAAATATTCAGAAAATGAATGCTAGAGGTTAGCCATTTCTTCTGTGTAAAAAGCCACTGCTAGTTAGAGCTCTTGTGTCATTCCAGTAGGCAGTGTCACTTGAGTAAGTTAAAAACATAAATGAAGCCAGGCTTGGTGGTGGCACACATCTTTAAACCCAGCACTTGGGAAGTAGAGGCAGGCTGATCTCTGAGTCTGAGGTCAGTCTGGGTCTACAGATTGAGTTCCAGGACAGCCAAGATTACACAGAGAAACCCTAATTTAATATACCAAAAACCCCACAAATGACAGCACATTATAATTCAATCCTGAACTCCTTTCCAGTTAACAACTTCATCTCCTCTCTTCATTACTAGGAGGAGGTCATGCATTTTAGGTGTTAAGAGTATTAGATGCTGACCTCAGGTCTGCATTTTACTAGCTTTGAAAACTTATGTAAGTTTAATCTGTTCCCTGACCTGAAAAACTTAAATAACAGCACCCAGAATGTAGCTTTTTATAGTATTCCAAACACATGGCACGTGCCTGGCACATAGTACAATCTAATAAAGGAAAGCTGCTGCCTCACGATCACCACCACAAACAAACCCCTCTCTTTTGGCTTTTTGAGACAGGGTCTTACTACACAGTTCAGGATGGCCTCGAACTTGTAATCCTCAGCCTCAGCCTCTAAGTGCTGGATCACAGAAATGACCACCTATCTTTGTCACTCTTTGTGGCGCACTCGTGTGTGTGTGTGTGTGTGTGTGTGTGTGTGTGTGTGTGTGTGTACACAATGTGTGTACGATGTGTGCCTGTGCCATGGTGCATGTGTGGAGGTCAGAGGGCAACAACTTCGTAGAGTCGGTTTCTCCTTCCATCTTCTTTTCCCCTTTGGCTCCAGGGGTCATACCTAGGTCATCAGGTTTGCAAGGCTAAGTGCTTTTACCCCCTGAGCCATCTCACCAGCCCTGTCTATCTTACTCTCCTTACTTTACTTACCATGTGTGCATGCATATGAAAGTCAGGAAAACTGGTGGTCCTGGGGATCCAACTCAGACCATCAGGCTCTGAGGCATGAGCCATGTCGTAAGTTCTCATGTACGTATGCATATGCATGTGTGTGCTGTGTGTATGTATGTATATGTGTGTGCGTGTGTATGCTTGTATGTGTGCATGTATGTGTGTGTTTGTGAGCCACCATGTGGTTGCCAGGAATTGAACTCAGGACCTCTGGAAGAACAGTCAGTGCTCTTAACCGCTGAGCCATCTCTCCAGCCCGTATATGTGTGTTTGTGTGGATGTATGTATGTATTTAAGACAGGATTTCTCTGTGTAGTCCTAGCTGTACTAAAACAGGCTCTGCAGACCAGGCTGGCCTCAAACTCAAAAGTCTGCCTGTCTCTGCCTCCCAAGTGCTGGGATTAAAAATGTGGGCCAGCACCGGCTCCTACCTCATCCTTAACGGTTGTATAGTACTGCCATCTCCTTTTGAGAAAGGTATCACCAACAGTCTTGTAATGAGGGTTAGGCTTAGCTACTTTATGCAAGTATATCTAGAGTGTAAATTCCTAAGTGGCGTTCAATCTTAATAACAATTATTATCCAACTGCCTTTATAAAATGGCTGTATCAGGGTATCCATCCACACACTCAGTTCTGAGAATGGCCTGGACTGAAAGTTTGGTGCTGAAGTTGCTTTCCTGTCACTCTTCGAACACTGCGATTTCAGTTCACACTCTGACGCCTTTAGAACAGCAGCAAAACAAATAACCCTAACCCAAACAATCTGAAGACAGATACTTTACACTCTGAGCCATCTCTCTAGATCCCAGGAAGAGAACTCTGTGTGTGTGTGTGTGTGTGTGTTTGTGTGTGTGTGTGTGAACAAGGTTTCTCTGTGTAGCCCTAGTGGTCCTAGAACTCGTTCTGTAGACCAGGCTGGCCTCAAACTAACAGAGATCTACCTGCCTCTGCCTCCTGAGTGCTGGGATTAAAGGCGTGCGACACCATCACCACCAGGAAGCAAATTTTTAAAACTAACTATCGTCTTGAATTGATAGAGAACTGTCAGTCTAAAACTCCTGTATGTTGGTGGGTGTACTACTATGCATCTCCTCAAAGCATCTGGTCAATTCATAAAAAACAAGGGGCCTGCTAGAGACAACAGTATAAAAGTCCACTCTCCCCTTCTAGGAGTCTGCAATGCAGAAGCGTTACTACAGGAAGAGAGTTGCATTGTTAGGGTTGTCATTACTGCCAGAGACAACAGTATAAAAGTCCACTCTCCCCTTCTAGGAGTCTGCAATGCAGAAGCGTTACTACAGGAAGAGAGTTGCATTGTTAGGGTTGTCATTACTGCCAGAGACAACAGTATAAAAGTCCACTCTCCCCTTCTAGGAGTCTGCAATGCAGAAGCGTTACTACAGGAAGAGAGTTGCATTGTTAGGGTTGTCATTACTGAGACAGGTTCTCAGGTGCCCAAGGCTCCCCACCAACCTTAGGTAGTTGCTAAGGATAGCCCTGAACTCCTCATCGCCCTGCCCCCACTTCTCCAGCGCAGGGTTACAGTGTGCACCGTCACACCACTCCCCTGACCTGATTTCTGAAAAGCAATACCAAGAGAAAGAACACTGAAACACAGAGAACACAATTTTAAAACCTCTAAAATCTTTGCAACCAAGGGAATTGTCGATTTCCTTTAAATTATGTATATATATATGTATATATATAATTTTTGCTTGTTTCTGTATTAACTTCTTATATGCCTATTCTTAAAACTGGCATGGTTCATTTTTTGGCTCTGTATCCTTCTCAGCACAGTTCACATTATAAAATCACATTTCTTGATGTCTGAACACATGACCTTTCGTAATCAGAGCATCCCATTTTTTTTGTAATGTTTATGTTGCCGATATATTTTACTAGCATCAAATTCCAGTGAACAATATTGACACTAACTCTGCATGGCTTTCTTTGTACAGTGAATGCCTGTAATTGATATGCATGATCCACATTGGTTGGTAGGTTAAAAACTGTTAAGAATCATGCAAACAACATATACACACCTCATTTTATAAAACACGGACAGCCTATTAATTCACAGTGTGTTAGTGGGCAAGGCTTTGTCTGCTCATATGACCCTTCTAGGTTACAGGAAAGCTCCCTGAATGTGGACCGAGATCTAACAATACAGGTGATCAGAGTGCAGCCTCTTCTGGTGAAGTGCTCTGAAGGCTGCTTTACTTTAACTCTTTTACTTACCTCTAATTTTAGGACACTTTTAGCATTTCTTGTAACAAATTTTTCTAGAGTGTCATACAAGTTTTTCTTCCCTTTTACACATTAATTTTATATATCTACTGAAAAAATATACTTGGAAGAAGTACACAGAGGTAGCTAGGTTTAAGATAACTGTTAATAAGAGAAATTAAAAATGTAGTCCTTGGCACCTGCCAGTGCTTAGACACAGGCTGTTAGGCCTCCGTGTCGTCAGAGGCCGGCCTAGGGCTGGTAGCAAGGCCATGCAGTCCTCCTTTTGGACACAAACAAGCTCATGAAACATCAACATCAGACGAGGTCACTGTATAACCACTGTAAACCCAGACAAAACAGACACTTAAAAATTTCAATCTAAGCTTGGATAGAAAATAAGGTCACTGTGCATTCTACAAAATACCAAACAGCCCCCTCTCCTGGCTGATACGGGTGACTGTTGCATCTTACCGTGGGTCTCTCCAGTCTTACTCTGCTCCAAGCAGAAATCTTCATTCTCAAACACAGATCACCTGACATCATAACTCTCCAAGCCAGAGCAAAGCCCTACTTGTTCAAACCCCCCCCCCAATTACACAGTCGCCCAAATCCTACCAACATATGTTCTGACATGTCCTCACCTACTCCATGGTGCTATGTACATTGTCTC